CACACACGCACCGCTGCTCCTGCTAATCATTAAAAACATGGAGATAACTTCACACACTCAAAACAAACTGCAAACTGGGCCTTGTTCTAAAAACAAACAGCTCTGGGCTGGAAATAAAGCAGACATTCACCTGAAAATTCACAAAAATATCTGTTTCCAAATGTGATTTTAACACTGGTCATTTCTGAAAACAAACAAATACGTCTCATTTAGAGATTAAAAACGCATTGTTCAGTTCATTTCTATTCTACTGGACCTTCTCAGGTAACTGATTACGTGGGAAAACCAGTAAAGGCCCGAGATTAATATAAGAAGCCAGAAATCAATAAGTATTTCAAATCTACAGAATACGATCACATATCTGCTTCACTTGACCAGATCGATAAAATAATATTCAGTCTGTTCTTTTAAAATTCATATTCCCTCTTATTGCCTTTTTTTTAGGTCAACATAATTTGCTCATTTAAACAAACGCTGCAGCCTTTTTTCATACTTTATTTAGAAAGACTTGGATATATTGAGGCGTTGCTTTGAAACTATTTTGATAAAGTAAAAAAAATGAAGCAGTAAATAATTTCTATAAATTATCATTAAGCACAATGGAAGCTTATGAGTTCTTTCTCATAATAATTTTCTTAAAAAAGAACAACCATGCAACTGTTTAAGTGATTTTTTCCTCGTTTTTGTCATTTAGGTGATGATGATTAAATGCACAATCAGTCTTTAAAATAAAACAGTCCCCTCTCTTTCCTTTCAGCTCATTTGCAAATCTTGTTTTGAGCCTGCACACACCCACCCACACACCCCACTCACAGAAGCAGCGGCAGCAGATGGGAAAACTGCAAAAATAATCAATTGCGATTAACGCGCACACGCACCAACACACACGCTTCTGAGCAAATCCAACAACCGTTTCCAGCCCTCTGCAGCTGAAGCCTCTCTTTTCAGAAAAAACAAAAACAAAACCTCAAATAAGTCCACTTGCTTGGACAATTGTTTGGGTCTTAAAGAAAAAAAAAAAACAAGCAAACAAACTGATAAGAATAGAAAAGCGCGCACGTGCTGTTTGTCTGCGCCTCTCTAATTGACTCGTGCGCACCTCAGGGACAAATGAATCCAAAGGTCCAGCAGTTAATTAAAGAAACTTCAGTCAAGTCAGGTTGAGTTTAGCAGCGCGACGTGAAGCCGAGGTCTCTTCTCATTTCTGCTCCTCTCACATCTTTCAGTCTTTTTTTCTCTCCTTCTTTCTGTTGCAAAATGAAAACCAAAGCAAAATTCACCTGGTAAATAATGCACGACTCCAACTTCAGCTGACATTTAAATCTAGTTCACCCCCCAAACACACACACACACACACACACACACACACACACACACACACACACACACACACACACACACACACTTTTTTCTCCTATAATATGCATGTTTACACCAAGGACAACACCAAAAAGGAGCTCATCAGTTGCATCTCCACTAAAATAAACACATTCCTAACGATTTCTGTGACAAGGATCAGTTTACGCACGCACACGCACACACGCACGCACACGCACACACACATACACACACCAGTGGTCGATATTTTGAGGTAAAATGACAGGAGCACTTGAGCCCAAACTTAAAGCGGTGCCTGTTCTGTGCAAACTTATACCAGGTGAATCATAAATTTTCACAACTTTTTCGTTCAATCCAAAAATATCTAAACCGACTCCAAATCTAAAACTATAGGCACAGCTTGACCTCCGAGCATCTTAAGATCTTTTTTTGTTTTTGCAGAGCAGCGCAGAGATGATCTCATCTTGTTTTATGAGGAACAATCGTCCTGAAAGTGCTCCTTGGTTTGTTGTAAACAAGATTTATATATAAATAGATTTATTAGTAAAAACAACAGGATCATTTTGATCTGCCAGCTCACTTTTTTTTCTTTTACAAATTGAAAAGATGTGAACAATAAAAAGAACATAAAAAAAGAGGGGCATTACCGAGGCTTCGCTCACCTGCGAGCCTGAGCGCACTCATGCGCTGGAACTCAGGCTCCTGCAGCCACTTCCACATGCGCCGAAACGTCTCTCTGCCGGACTTGAGCTTTGACCAGGGCTTGGGGTTCCTCAGCAAGTCGGACAGGGTCCCCTGGGACCGGCACAGGACCCGCTGGGCGAAGATGGCCTGAGGGATGCTGTAGCGCTTCAGCTCCGTGGTGATCCTCTGCGCCACCTCTTTGGTATTCACCTCCTCCATCTGTCCCCCAGAAACACCCCCTCCTCCTCCGGCTCCTCCTCCACCGCCGCCCACTTGCTGCCCGGGCCCGGAGGCCTGCTCCCGGCCGTTCCCCAGCCCCTGGCCGTGGCCCGGCGCGCCCAGGTGCGCGTGCGGGTGGTGGTGGAGTCCGTTGATTGGCACCATGCCCGCCGAGGAGCTCATGTGCTGCTCCGTGTGCCTGCCGAGCATGGCCGGGTGGTGAGCCTCGAAGCCGCTGGGGGTGAGCATCTTCTCCCCGGGCATGGCGGCGCCGGGATGCGCGTACGGAGGGATGCCGGCCTGGGACGTGTGGATGCTGGCCAGCCCCGAGCCGGACAGCGGGGAGAGGCTCTGGCCCATGCAGGGGTCCTTGTGGTGATATGCGGGATACAGACTGTTCATAGGCGCCAAACTGCGGTCCTCCCGCATCAACGTGAAGCTGCCGCTGACATTTCCCGGGATCCTCTGGTGCGGATGGGGGTGCGGATGGTGCGGGTGGTGGTGGTGGTGGTGATGATGATGATGCGGGGGGAACTTGTCGGAGACGGTGGAGATGGGGGGCAAGGGCTGCAGGGGGGTTAGGGTAGTGTAAGTGGTGCTCGCGCTCATGCCCGGGGGGGCTTCGCACATGCTGATGGCCGGGTGCAGGTGTCCCGGGTGGTGATAGTCTCCTCCGTCCAGCAGGGTGGCCATGCCCATGGCGCGGTGGCTCAGAGTCCGCGGGCTCGGACGCGAGTGCGGACTGTGGCCGCTCAGCAGCTCTCCGTGAGCGGCCACCGACTCATGGCTCACTCCGTGCAGGTCGCCTATGTTCTCCATGGACAGCTGCGCGTTCATGATCCGGGCAGCGCTGTGGAGCAACCATCTATCTGACCTACGGATGCCCCAAAAGTCCTCACGTCCGGTAAACTTCAATTTTCTTTTTGTTGCTTCCTCGCCCTRCTCCTGGCTGCAGCCTCCGTTGCTTGTCTCCTGTTTATGTCCCGCTTCTGATATTAGAGTCTTTTTGTCCTACCTCAGCGGCTGGTTTCCAAAATGGGAATTCCCTTTTTAAAAAAATCCTTTATTCTTTTCTCAGTTTAAAAAAAATAAACAACAGAACAACATATTTAGGATTTTCTTTGTAATTCAAGCCCCCCCGCCGCCAACCAGCTGTCCTTGCGCTCCGGTCGGGTGCCGCGCCATCTCTCCAGCAGTGTGTGTCCAGTCCCCGGTCCACCGCAGCACAGAACACACCGTCTACACATGCGCACTGTGGACACCCACCTCCTCCCTCTGTGCTCCCCCCCCCCCACTCCCCATTTTTCTTGTCTTTTCCTCTCTCCACAAACACCCCGCACCCCCTCCGCCGCTCTGACGTTTGTACCTTATTAAGGAAGGGAGGCATCAAACCGCTCCGCTAAACGCCGCCGTAACGCGCATTTAATCAACCCCCCAAAATCTTTCCAGCGTAAACACACAAACCTGCAGAACCCACCAAACTCCAATCAACGCCATCTCAGGTTTGAGCATCACTTCACAGAATATTAGGCTCATTAATGGGCTGTAATGAGGATTTATAAATTTATCAAGTATTCCTGCAGACCTCCTTAAATCATTTACTGCAAACGAGGTAAACTTCCGGGTTCATTTAGAGTTTATTTTTAAATAGAAAATCTCCCAAAAGAGAAAAATCAGTACTAACAGGCTAATAATCTAATATTTAAAGTATGAACAGCTTGAGGTTTGTCCTTAAAGTTTTAAAGATTTATTTTGTTATTACTTCAGCTGCACCCCCCCCCCCCCACACACAGTGCCAAATATGTGGCGGTTTAACTAAAACGAAGAAGACCTTCTCTTTTGCTTGAAGAAGACGAGCAGATGTGTCTATTGTTCAACCATTAAGGCTTAACGAACCAAGCCCAGCAGGAGAGGTGTGCGTCCCGTTCGGAAACACGTCTGTAGTCCGCTGCGTTTTACAAGGATTTGCGCTAAAAAAAAAAACAAATAAAAATAAATAAAAAAGTGGAAGAATTCGGCTTGATACTGTGAAAGTTTACATGGCGAGCTGCTCATTAGAGTGTATTTTAGTATAGTAAAGTTTTTCTAATTCAAACCACACTGACTTGACGCGTCTCCAAATGAAACGCGCTGATCCAGGATCACAGCACCTGATAAAGGAGCCGGTGGCCCCTGATTTTACACGTCAGGGGCCATTTGGGTCTGACAGAGCGGTGTGGCAGGGCGTCCTCAGCCGGGTGAGGTGACAGCTTGCAGCGGCCAGTGTCCTTCTGGACCCCCCCACCCCCACCCCCGCTGAATTAGGGGACATGTCAAAAGGTGACGCTTCAAGACTCTCAAAGCCAACATCTGCGGGGGACAGATTAACCTTTCAGACTTTTCCCTGTTTTGGACCAGCTATGGGGGTGTGTGGAGGGGGGGGGGGGCACATCTGTCAGCCCCCCCCTCCTTCAAACCCTCATGATAAAGCTTGGTTGAACAACTTAAATAAAATAAAATGGGGGGGTGAGGGGAAGAAAAAAAAAGAAGTTAAACTGTCTCTGATGTGAAGTCAATGTCAATGGCGTGTGTGTGACGTGTGTCAACACAAAGGGACACTAACTCCTCTGAGTGTGTCTGTCCAGGCGTGCAGTCCGGAGGGAGGCAGCAGAAAAACACCAACATCCTGCAGATATTTTTCATTTGAACAAACCTGCCTTTATTCAGCCACATCAGAGCTGCATGGCTATGTTTCAACTTTGTCAAAAAAGCAAAACAAGTATAACTAATAACTAATGATAAATGTTCTTTAAAACGTATACGATTACTTTTTTTGCATGCTGACAGTACAATCAAACTTTGTTGCTTTTTTTGTGCAGTTTTTTATGCTAGAAGGCATTAATGTTATATATTCTGGTAATTATGACAAGAAGATGAAAAAGTCAGTCCTTAGTTTAAAAAACAGCATTATAATATTTTATATTTCTTTTTTTTAAACCTTTTATCCTGTCTGACCAAGGCAATAAATGTTCAGGTCAAACAGCAAAAATAAAAAAATAAACAAATAAAAAACACTCTGTCCAAACTGTAGAAATTGATTGGATTGTTTTGGTTATTGGACCTGTAGGCAAACTGTTGTTTGTCTTTTTGATCTTTTTTAAAGTTTTAACATTCTTCTGCTGCAGGTCTCAAGATGTGCAAAGTGTTTTTTTTAAATCTTAAAATATTAAGAAGTTAAAAAAGAGCAACCGTGAACTTCATTTTAACACTTCAGCTTCTTGTAATGAAACATATTTTCAGCAATAATGAATCTTTTTTTTTTTTTTTTTGGATTTTAGGGGCCGGATTTAAATGATTCAGGGACCATTTTAGGCCCTCGGGCCGTATCTTGCTCATAAATGAACAGCTTTTTAACAATGGTTTGATTCTATTTTTATTAAGAATTTGAAGGTTTAATCTACAAAACGATCTGCCTATGTTAAAAACAAACCTCCACCCAGTTTCTCACTCAAATAAAT